CCCAAGTAACTATAAGCCCTAGCTAAACCAAACTTGCATGGATGATGCATCTAAGGATGACATACATTCTCATTGCCAATTATAAGCCCTAGCTAAACCAAACTTGCATGGATGATGACAACTTGCTTCGGATGCTGGATCTGACCTACATTTTCATTCCCAAGTAACTACAAGACTATAAACCAAATTTGCATGGATGATGCTAGGGAACCAAACTTGCATGCTGGATTCCCAAGTAACTACAAGCCCTAGCTAAAGCAAATTTGCATGGATGATGCATCTAGGGATGTACACTACCAGACTTGCTTCGGATGCTGGATCTGACCTACATTTTCCTGATGAGTGACCACTTTAAAGTATAAGAGCAGGACCACAGGAACTATAAGCCCTATTTGGACCAAACCAAATTTGTAACTATAAGCCCTAGCTAAACCAAACTTGCATGGATAATGCGTCTTAGGATGGACACTATCAGACTTGCTTCGGATGCTGGATCTAACCTATATTTTCCATACAAGAGATCAGGTTAAAGTTTTGGGAACAGATCAATCCAAATGAACTTGAAATCCTTGATATCTGCTCAATATTAACAGTTATAAATATTTGTTTACACGATATATGTTTTTCACGCTACACGCATAGAAATGTGTATATGCCATGTAAGGGGTTAAACACAACTTGCAAGAATATTGTTGTTGGGATGAATACTTAATATTAAGAAAATATGATGTAAGATTTGCATTACTTAAACTGATAACATTCGTCGAGGTGAGCTTCGTAATCTTTGATTACCTATGTTTGATAATCAGTGTTACCGTAGTTCTCTACCCATACGAGGTAAAGCAGGAGAGGGAACCAGACTGGCCTGTTTGTTTACAATTCAGCTGCGGTACCAGATTAATTCTGATTCTGACAAAATCGGACCGTGGTATTAGGATTGAAAAACTCACTGTCAGTGTCTTATCATTTATATTGATAGTTTTAAAATAATTTTTTCATCAGAATATAAACGTGATTCATGAAAGAAATCCATTCTACTCTGTAAATGAGCCCGGCTCTCTGTACTTCTGATTACTTTGATTTTGTGTTAAGTTTAATTAAATATCTGTTTACATCACAACACGTAAATCAACAAAAATACACTTCCCTTTTAAAAACTAATTTAGGTTTTTTATTTCGTTATAATCTTTCTGAAAATAATTGGTCACTGTAGTTCAAAGTGGCCGTAGCCTATGAAACATCTGTTGCTCGGCTGACAGTCAATTTCCGTACATAAATACAATGATGTAAAACAAAGTCCAATTTGTGATTTGCATTCAAGTTAAGATATTGAATTTTAAAAGCAAGATTGTATGCTCTTCTTAAATGTTACTCTATTTAATCTGTTCAAATTTTATTCCTTTTAAAATACAAGTAGTATTCGTGCCCTACTAACACGTTAAGTAAAATATGCCTGAGCCATCAGACCATAGAATGGTAAAAGCAACACATTAAAAACTCTGTAATCAGAACAAGAGGCGCTTGAGCTTTGACGGTTACCAGAGTATAATACAAAAGAAAAAGATTCATTGAAGCAAAGGCTAATTATATAAGCAAAGGTTTGTTTTTAATTACAAAAAAATTACATCCCTTCATCTATCGATGCTGTATGCCTAAATGGCTTAAAATTGGTTTCCTAGTTCCAGAGATTTTGCTGAAAATGTTGAAATGTTAACGCACGACGACGAACGAAACAGAAAACAATATAGATAATTTTTAAAAATCCCGTTACGCTCGTGTCGACGAAGTAGAGATGAGCTTATGCTATACCCCCGGCGTTGGCGTCTGCGTCTCAGGTTCAAGTTTTAGGAGCAAGTCCATTCCAAAGTAACTATAAGCCCCACCTGGACCATACTTGCATGAATGATGCATCCAGTGATGGACACAACAAGACTTCCTTCGATTTCTGGATCTGGCCTACAATTTCCAGATGAGTGACCAGGTAAAAGTTTTTGGAGCAGGTCCATTCCCAAGTAACTATAAACCCTACCCGGACGAAACTTGCATGGATGATGCATCTAGGGATGAACACTACCAGACTTGCTTCAGATGCTGAATCTGACTTGCATTTTCCAGATGAGGGACTAGGTTAACGTTTTCGGAGCAGGTCCATTTTCAAGTAACTATAAGCTTTTCCCAATCCAAACTTGCATGGATGATGCATCTAGCGATGGATACTACCAGACTTTAGATGCTGGATCTGACCTACATTTTCCAGATGAGTGACTAGGTTATTCCCAATAAACTCTGAGCCCTACCTTGACCATGCTTGCATGCATGATTCATCTAAGGATGGACAATTGAGACTTGCTTCGGATGATGGATCTGACCTACACTTTTCAAACGAGTGACCAGGTTAAAATTTTTGGAACAGGTCAATACATAAGACCTATTTAAACAGAACTTGCATGAATATTGTTGTCAGGATAAATACTAACTATTAAGAAAATATGATGTGAGGTTTGCATTACTTAAACTGATAACATTCGACGAGGTGAGCCTCGTAATCTTGGATTACCTATGTTTAATTAAGCCATGTGTGTAGATTCCCCCCCCCCCCCCCCCCCCCCCAAAAAAAAAAAATTGAGAATTTTTTAAAAATACTTTTTAAAGCAGGATCCAACCTCTTTAAATTATATCCAAGAATATTGATCGTAATCAGATTTGAAAATAAAAATTTAAAACAAAGAGCTCATTCCATACATATATATATCGATGACCATCGATTATTATTTTACATGTACAAAATCTTGGATTGATTGCTGTTTAACGCCGAGTCGGCAATCTTTCAGCAATTTTTCGGCCGAAAAAAACTTTGATAGATGTTAGATTTCATGCATGTAGCATGGTGCACAAAAAATAAATAAAGTTTATTTTTATTTATTTATAAAGACAATAAATGGACATTCCCATTTTATCAGTCATGCGAGTTCAAAATATTCTAGCTAAACTCTATCGTTAGTTTATTTTGTTAACTCCAAGATTGATTAGTTTTATTAATAATGAATGATACACAATGGGAACGCAAAGGACGGATGCTGCAGTATTTCCTGGCGTGTGACGCTTTTGTCGCTCTTAACCATTACTTCGCATTAAAATAAATATTTTACACGTTTTATATTGATTCTAATAGCTACGTAATTTTTCATCTTTTACATATAATTTGTATCAGGTATTTAATAAGGAAGTGCGTGTTTTACATGCTCTCCAGGGAGAGAAAACAATCAATTGTTCTATTTAAATCTTTTTTTTCAAAAATGCTGCTGATTATGAATTATGCACTGATGATATATTGCTTAGTTGTTGTTAGAGAGAAAAGTTCAGAACAATCGATCGTCACTCTAATGACCTATTGTAACATTGATGTTCAGAGTATAAATTTAATTCACTGAAAAATGTATTAAATATATATACACAATCTTCTTTCTTGAAAAGTGAGATGTGGTCAACTAAATATCGAAAATAAAGAAAATACATTTTTTTTTACACAAAAAGTGTGTTTCAAAGGCACTTGAAAGTTCATTCTCTATAAAAAAAAAATAACTTTAACGAGACACCGATACGCACAAAGGGAAAAATTGAGCAATGTATAATGTTTGCATGACCCGTGTAAATTCTTCAATTTATAAAAGTATCAGGGGCCTGTTTTACAAAAGAACTTACGACCAAGACCAAAATTAATTCTGCTTATAAGTTTCTTCTTTTTCCTATTAATATATTATTTGAAAATGGTTTTACAATTTATAAAAGGAATGTAGAAATATATTTTCATTATCGCAATTTTAAATTTGATCATTTATTTTGCAAAATTTTACAATCAATTCAAGTTTTTGGTCTTAGTCGCAAGTTCTTTTGTAAAACGGGCCCCAGGTTTAAGAAAATGACAAGTTTTAATATTTACCATGGTCTCAAGTACCGAAGAGTGAATGTAAGTAGACCAAAATTTTAGAGCAATTTTTCAAAAAAAGATATTGAAAAACATATGTCCTACCTTTGCATGCTCCAGTTGAATGATGTTTACAAGTTTGACAAAAAAAAAAAAAAATAAATAAATAAAATGGCGTGACCTTGACACAACGAAACGGCAAAACCACCTTTTGTTTTCCGGCACTTATATTGTGCAGTCCTTTCTTACATATAATTGCAGTTTAATTGTCATATCTTAGCTATATACTCATATTTTTCATAAGTCTTTCTCTGTATGCTACTGATATATTAAAAGAAGCACATCTATTTGACGCATTGTTACTTTAAATGGTGATGTACAATACGGTTATCGACAGAAGGTTTAATTTGCCTCGCTAGTGTTTATCGATTTGCGTGAACTGAACTCTTGGGGTAAGGGAAATAACTATCCTCCTTTTATCAGTTGTGCAGGTATATCCATATCGCAGTTTTTTTAAAACAAGAACAAAGTATTTTGATTTCAATTTTATTGAAAACACTTTAATACGTACATAAACATTATTATAATCAAGAACAATATATGTTTTTGAAACACTGGTGCCTCTGTATAGCCCGTAAAGCCTTAGCCCCACTCACTTAATAGTAAAAAGCTATGTTAAATATGACAACAGGCAGACAAGACAAAATATACCCACGTAATCTTCCAAAAGGGGAGGGGCATAAAAATTACACGAAATCGATTAAATCAAAGAAAATTCTTTCTCTTGCAATACAGATGAAAAACGTTTCTTTCATTGGAAAAGATTTCAGATCCTTTATGAAGTCCTTTTGTAATCATCATCTGTGAGGGAAAGATTAAATATATAAAAATCTAAAGTATACATCTAAGAGAGGGGCCATCAAAGTAATCGAAAGCCTTATATATGAAAAAAAAAACTCGTTAAAAGTATAAAGGCACTGTGATAAATCAGATTGTATCACGTAATCTTGTACTCTAAATCACAAATTAATAGAAAAAGAAAATCAAAACTAAATATTGTTACATGTACCTAGTGACGCCTGACCATCATCACTGTCCCTCTGACAAATGTGCTAGAATTCACTACAGGAAACCAAGGCGAAGTCCATGTTTCTGGTGACCAGGGCCCGTTCAGAAAGGCGTCGTGGCACCCATTGAACCACCAACCTCCTTTGTACTCAGTAGCACAGCTACTGTTCACCTTCCTGTCGTTATCTCTATCGTACGTAGTAAAATACATACCAGGCAATCGAAGGTACGCAAGTTTATTATTTATCATACTTTCACCTATCAAATTAAAGAAAACCAACCAAATTAAACTATACAGCTTCATTCATAAGATAAATTCTTGTCTATTATTTATTCTTTTCTATAAATTCTTGGCATCTGTGATGACCAATTATCCTACCTATGAAATACACTTTTTTCATAATAGTTGAACCGTTTCTAATTTTGTAAGTAAATTTTACAGCATCACAAAACAGTTTCATTGAACTCTTACAAATGACAGAAAGTCTCTATGAAAAAGCTCGTCCTTTCAAGTAAATAAATAAATAAAGAGTTAAAAAGGCTGGTTGCAGTGAAGATAAAATTAAAAGCAGCAAAGAAAGTTTTACAATTTCTAAATATTTCCCATCATTTACATCACAGGTCGTAATTTATACGCCAATCCAGGCATCCGATTTTTCATTGCATAATCTGTTTTTCAGCAGTGAAGGTGTATATCGAAAAGATTGGTTACCGGTATATGTACGTGGCATAGTCAGAAAGGGAGATGTTTTAAGAACAAGTCTGCGTGTAGGAATGGCCGAAGTTTGTCAGGTCATTGGCGATATGCCTTGAGTCCCTTATATACAGTCTAATGACAAGTTAACATGAAAGCCAAGCAGTGGAGAACAGGGAGCTGGTGCTTATTTAGCACTTGTACAAGTGTGATATATCAAAACGTCACAGTTTGGACACGTTCAAGTTATCTTACATGTAGTTCATTAGAACTTACCGATTCCAAAATGGGATCATTTAAATTTGTACCATTCAATTTTAATTTACTCTGTAACCATATAGTGGTATGAGCCTATGCCCTAAAATCGCGGATCAAGGCGTTAATCCTTAAGTCGTTGGTTCAAATCCCATTTTGAAACATGGAGACTGGTACTAAATTAATTAAACTGTAGGTGTTGTCAAGAAAAAAAGCTCACTCCCTGCTCAATGCCCGTTAGTGCCGAGTTCAGGACAAAATTTGTAGCTCTCCGCCAGTACGTGGTGGCGTCTCAATATGCGTGAAAAATTCTGGAGAAGGACGTTAAACAACAATCAAAATAATTTTCTTTGGGTCAAATTTTCAAGGTAAGAGGCAATATTTGTTCGTGAGAATTTGATAAAATTGAAGAATTGCTGAGATTTTTATTTAAAAAGAGTGGATTTCATGGATCACCTTACACCATAAAATAAACAAAAATTAAACATCAGAGAAATAAGTCGTTTCATATAGTAGCATGGAAATTGAAATTACGAAGTAAAATACTATTTTTAATACTGCTATCAACACATTCAATCGCAAATTTAATATACTTTAATAACATTTCACATATGTTAAGCTTAATCAAATGTATAAATTAGGTCAAGGTTTAATTGTAAATAAAGATTTTTTTTGTTAACAACACGTTCTACACACACGCACACCCTCTTGTTAATTATCCTTCGTAAAATTTCTTTTTTAATGTGACAAATTTGCCAATATATCTGACTCTGTGTAACATTCTACCTGTCACCTACCCAATGTCCCCTCTGCAGTTCCCGCCAGAAATAGTTTATACTTCTCCGTTTCGTCAGAAATGGCGAACTTTTCGTACAACTCGTACAGTATCGTACCATTCTGGAGAGTAATGGAGACATAGAGGGACGAGTCGTTTCCCTTTGTTAACTGATGAATTACATCATTACCTGTATATATAAAGATCAGTAGATGTATTGCAATGCACATTGCTTTAAAAGTACATTAATTTTTTATAATATTCCCCCAAAATCAGATTATATTTTTTTATCAATTTTATCCAATTACTGTTTCACCCTAACCAACAAATAAACATCCCTACGAAGGTTAATTTTGTTAACATATAATTTCATTGTACCATTATATATATTTACGAGTAACCCGCCAAATTACATTCCCGCCAACAGGTCAAATTTGGTAACAAACGAACATTGACCCCTATGAATTTAATTGATTCCACAGTAGCTGACCGGTTATGAGGATAGTTCACCATATTCAACAGGACATTTATTTTATTCTCCCCTTTCCCTAAAAACATTAATATTTTTATAGACTTTTCGATTGCTATTATCATGGAGATGGACACAACACCAGCACTGCAATGCCCTAAAGTAAAATGGTCCCTTTTTCCTGACATCAATGATAAGGAACTATCAATGAGAATTAAAAAAAACATGATGTCCATACATATATTAACCTGTGTTAAACTCTAGCCTTAATTTCCTGTGTAAAATTTATATGTTCCTAAATGGATCATATGTCAAATATGAAATTGGAATAATGGCCTAGTTATCATTGGATTTATAATTACCGATCCAAACATTTTTTTCCGGTGTTCCGAAACCATTCTTATACGCCGTCCAGTTCTTTTCAAAGCTCAGGGATCCATCTACTCGTTTTTGAATTACCTTACAAAAATAAATACATCATTCAATTTTTATAGCACCTAATATCTGTTTGATAAGTGTACATGTAATAGAGAATCAGATTGTGAATGTTTCTTATCCCTTTTTCAATCACTTGCTCAACAAAATGAGATACCAATAAACATTTCTTTTTTCGTGAGAACCTAGTAAGTTGTTAGAACTTGTGTTCAAGCCATTTGTATAGTATTTATACAATAAAATATGTTCAAACCACATTTCTTTTTGCCAATTTTAAAACTTAATTCGTAAAAATAACAGATACCGTCCATCCGCCTCCCTCTGTGATCATGTCACAGTAAGCTTTGATAGCACTGGAGTCAGTACCATAAGGATAGATCGGGTATACACCGGAATTAGTGTGACCATTCTCAAGGAGATCCTTACAATCAGTACGAACTAAAACAGAAACAAAATCACACGTATATTAACACTTGGAATATGTACAAGTTTTTTAAAAAAAAAAAAAAAGATCCAAAAGAATCTTTTCCTCTTCAATTTTAATATATCGCTTATCTTGCATAGTTTTCTTACACTGCACTGCAAATACTTGTTGAATTAGTATTGTGTTCTATAGTTTCTGTATTGACATTTTCATTCTCCGTCTTTGTGAATGCCTTATTTCAGCCCAAATGAGAAATATCAGCACATAGTATTACATGGAAATATACAGGAAATGATCGATTGTATGGTGTTTTACGTCCCGCTCCAAAAAAAATTTCACTCCATATAGAGACGTCAGCATATACATGTACCAAAGTTTGACCTTAATTCGATACTCCGGGCCATTGAGCAGCAACGGATTTTATCCTGCCAACGTCTGCCGTGACACGGGGCCCCGGTTGTTTGAAGTCTCCTCCGAAGGACCCGCAGCTTAAGATTCAGAGTGCAGGGCGCTCGGTGAAAGAACGGTGGGCTACACATTTTGTCGACTAAGATCAGTCGCGGCCGAGATTCGAACATACGACCTCCCGATCACTGAGCGAGTGCTTTGCGGACTGAGCTCCGTGAACGGTTTTCTCAAGAACAACGAAGCTATTAGTCAAATTGATATGGAGAAATCTTTATGTAAAATTGTTCAAATCATGACCCTGAGGGTAGGGTGGGGGTCACGATAGGGATACAAGTTATATAAAAGATTATACGATAGAAAAAGAAACTGCTGATGAATAGCAGAGCCGTATTGATTCGGGTAGTCGTTGTGGCCCATCATAGGACCTCTTATTCAGGGATGTCAGCAAAATGATCAGTCGATCTACCTTCCTCAATTTTCTTTTAAAGATTCAATTACTGAGAAATTTAATATAAATACCCTTTAATATAAAAATGCTTCTATAACATGTATCCACTACAAAGATATATTTAAGTGTTATCATTGATTTAACAAGTAATTGAGCTTTAATAAACCTTTATTTCCACAGCAGCTGAATTCAAATTTTTCGTTCTCGTCGCTACAAAAATAATTTAATTTTCTTTTTTGCTTTTATACTGGGGACCACTACTTTTCCTTTTTGATTGGTCCGTTTTAACTCAATTCACGATTGTAAAATTAATCCTTGATTATACCTTAAACTATATCAAAGTACTCAGAAGTACAGAGAGCCGGGCTCATTTACAGAGTAGAATGGATTTCTTACATGAATCACGTTTATATTCTGATGAAAAAATTATTTTAAAACTATCAATATAAATGATAAGACACTGACAGTGAGTTTTTCAATCCTAAAACCACGGTCCGATTTTGTTAGAATCAGAATTAATCTGGTAACGCAGCTGAATGTAAACAAACAGGCCAGTCTGGTTCCCTCTCCTGCTTTACCTCGTATGTGTAGAGAACTACGGTAACACTGATTATCAAAAATCCTTACGCTAATGAACTATGTTCTTTGACTTATGAAGTTTTCAAAGTCGTTACTACAAATGTTTATTTTATATAGATAAAACTTCATTTTATTTTTGTTGCTTTATTTAGCGTTTGTATTATCTCAAAAGCGGTTGAGAGTAAGAACTATATTTTTGCACGTAACTTTAAAATGGCGACTATTGGGTTAACATCCTGCCTTGAACAGGATCACATAAGCCGGCAATTGCTCTTTGAGCAATAAGCCCGGCTAAAAATCACATAGTTCTACTGTTTCTCCCTTTATATTGTGTGTTTACAGGATATTGATTTTACTGCTCCTCTCGTGTATGATAGGCTTTCTTTTGGTTCTCTTTAAAAAAATGATGATGGAATTTAATCTCTCATTATATATGTAAGGAATGACTGGCTGAATAAATTGATTTATTGTAGCATTATGTTTAGAATCGTGCATTTTTATTAATACACAAGGTGGCTACTTTTCCTAAGTATTAAGAATGAAATAAACTTTTGTGAAAGTGCAAGGATGTAACAATCAAACCAACCCAAAATTTTGTGTGAAATGCTATTACAATATATAAGTCGTGATATTATACAGAAAATATTAACTTCAAATATGTGTCTATGCATCTTTAAGTTTGTTCAAGTTATGACTCTCCCTGAGGAGGGGGCCACAATTGCGATTTTTTGAAAAGGAATATGTAGAAACAAAAATGTTTAATGTCCAAGATGAGGAAAGGCTTTGGTTATATTGATGTAAAAGTATCTTCAGGAAGTTCAGAATTCAAATTAAAATTCAACCCAGACCCCGGTGTTTAACTACTAGTATTGATTTTAGCTTCTTTTTGTCTTTAGCCAATGTTCTCGGATGACTGATATGGCCCATGGGCCTCTTGTTCTCGAGGTAAGCAGATACATTTTGTATTAGATAGGGATTTTGAAAGTAAATAATTAAAAAACACAAAGACTTAAAAACAACATTTTTTTCAACCTTGACAAACCAAGTCCGTTATCCAGGTCCCATTTTTATGGCACACGATCATTCCGGATCCTCGCTGTTCAAAGGCATCCAAGCATTTAATGTGCATACGTTTTCTTATCCCTATTCCTTCCCAGTCCCGTACATCCCACTTGGTATTCCTTATTCTTTTGACAGGGATCCCACAATCTGATAAAAAAAATTCTATCAAATTTATTCATTTCAACATTTACAAGCGAGGGGGGGGGGGTATTAAAAGTAAGATTGATTGATTATATGTTGTTTAGCGCCCCTCTCTCCCGAGTTTTTCACTCATATGGAGACGCTACTATATGTCGATGTAGAGCTTCAAATTTCGTCCTATACTCGGCACTTAGGGCCATTGGTCAGTGAGGGATCTTTATCGAGCCGGCACCTACTCCGACACAGGGACTCTGTTAATACGGTCTCGTACTAAGGATGGGACGCCACGTCCTACAGTGGAATTTGAACCAGTGACGTATGGGTGGATTCCTTCGCGATTTGCGTTCTAATCACTGCGCCACGCGGGCAACATTTCTAGAATACAAATTGTGTTTTAAACGTGGATGAAATGTGACGAAAATAATCAGCCTAATATATGGTATGTGTACAGAAATTAGCGTCTTCAAAATTTGACGTTATATCTCGGTATGGAGTGGTTAGCGAAGTGATAATACGCGCTAAAAATGTAATTAGGTGAATTTGAAAAAAAAAATACATAGGCTTTTTGCCTATTAAAATAGACTCGGTGTTCAAGGCCTGTTAAATGGCAAATCAAAGCAAGTAAATTAATAAACAGGAGGCCCATGGGCCTTATAGGTCACCTGAGTATCTTATCATAATTATACACTTAGCATGCTTACTTTGATTACCTTTGTAACCACTTGTGCACCCCTCCGCGCAGGAACCACTGACCCTGGGTCAACATATTTCAAAATTTTGGAAATATTATCAAGAATTTTATTTCATCATAAATTGTTGATGAATATTAAAGCATTAATTTATATTCAGACTATGTACCCCCCCCCCCCCTCCAAAAACCTCTGACCCAAAGGCCCAAAAATTAACCATTTTTGAAGAGGCAGCTTTCTTCATCATAAATATGTACTTAGATAAATGGCATAATATCTAGGAGCGAAGGAAAATATTTTCAAAGAAATGCATTTTCATTATATAAACAGAGCCCCGCCCTAACACAAGAAGCCCTGACCCAGGGGCCATGAAGTTCACAAATCGCAAAGTGGCATCCTTCCTCCAATAACTATGTACATAGTTCATTGGTTTAATACCCAAGCACAGAAAAGAAGGTTTTCAAAGAAACAATTCATTTTCCCAGACCCTATATAATCTTTATATATAGCCCCGCCCTAGCACCCCTGACCCTGAGGCCATGAAATTTACGATTTTGGAAGAAGCAGCCATATTCAACATAACTATGCATTTGGTTAGTTTAATTAATGCGCATGAGCAGAGAAGAAGAACTTCAAAGAATTTATGCATTTTCACTATTTAATCTATATAGCCCCGCCTTAGCACAAGAACCCCTGACCCTGGGGCCATGAAATTCACAATTTTGGAAAAGGCAGCCATATTCAACATAACTATACACTTGGTTAATTTATTAGTGCCCTTGAGCATTTATGCATTTTCACCATATAATATAGCCCCGCCCTAACACTACATATGTACCGGTAGAACCCCTGTCCTTTAGGCAATGAATTTCACAATTTTGGTAGAGAACTCAATGCTGATTACGATCATACCAACAGTTTGACTGCTTGATGTCCAGTAGTAAAGAATAAGATTTTTAAAGATTGCACTAAATTGAGAGGTTTTGGCCCCATCCCCCAGGCCCTAGGGGGGCAGGGACCATGAAATACACAATTTTTGTTCCAATTTACCTATAGATGCTAGAATGATACCAGATGATATAGATGCCAAAATTGGTTGAAATTGGTTCAGGGGTTTCAGAGAAAAAGCTGAAAATGTTCAAATGTTAACGCACGACGACGGACGAAAACGGATAGCAATCGGTCATCTGAGTTTACCCAGGTGACCAAAAAAATAATATCGCTTTCAATAATTAACGGTGA